CCCAGGCTGGCTTCAAACAATGATTCTTAGATCTCAGCCTCCTGAGTAGGTAGGAAGACATGTGTGAGGCACCAATGCCCGGCTGGCTGGACATGATATTTCTTGAGACCTGTAATCAAGTGCCAGAGGAGGGGGAAGAGAACGCTGAGAACTGAGGGTTTTCTAGGAGAGGAGTCCAGCCAGAGAGGGATCTATGGCAGCGGTCTTGCTCTGTGCCTGGCTCCTGAATCAAACTTTGAATAGACCTGCCAGGTCCCCTGCTCCCACTTCACCCCTACTACAGGTCACCAGGGTCCCCAAGTTCAAAGCAATAGCCTGTTTCATATCGTCCTCAATTCTACCCATGATTCTGTCCTCCTGGGCATTTCTCACCATCCCGGTCCTGACTGGGATCAACCCTCTCCATTCCACAGGCTTTGCTACATGTTAGAGAGTTTTGTTTTGTTTTCTTTTTTGTCCATCATGGGGCTTGAACTCAGGGCTTGGGCGCTATCCCTCAGCTCTTCAGCTCAAGGCGAGCGCTCTACCACTTGAGCCACAGTGCCACTTCTGGTTTTCTAGTGGTTTACTGGAGATAAGAGTCTCACAGACTTTCCTGCCCCAGCTGGCTTCGAATCTCGATCCTCAGATCTCAGCCTCCTGAGTAGATAGGATTACAGGCGTGAGCCACCGACGCTCAGCTTAAAGCAGGAACTTCCAAGCAACACATTTTGATTTAAAAAAAAAAAAAAAAAAAAGACAGTTTTTCTCACAGATCAAATCAAGTTCTCAGTAGAAATGGCTGAAGAAAGGTTGGGTGTGTGTTTCCAAGTTTTTCTCTTTTCATGGCTCTCCTGTAGTCTGTCTCTGAGTCCAAGCAATCTTATGTGACAAAAAGCCTCAGGCTTTAGACCAGGAGCACTGACAGGCCAGACCTGAGGACTCCTGACAGCTGCGGCCCTTTCCCTCAGTTATCTGAGCCCAGACTGAGTGAAAACCATGCCCAGGGCCTTGGGGCTAGTGGGCAGGGGAGGTGCCGCTTCTGTCTCCATGCCTGGTTGTTCTGTGCCCAGAATTTGACATTCCCAGTTGGTGCTAAGTTGGGATACAAGAAGGCAAAATTGAGAGCCTTTTGCTTGACTTCCCCCAGGTTCTGGAACTTTCTATCTCCTTTCCCTCAAGACCCATCCCCAGAAGTTTCTGTATAGCCAAACAGACCAGACCCCTCTACTCCCACACCTCACTTACACCATGTCTTCTTGAGACTCTACTCAAAACTGTATCCTTCTCCTGGACCTATAGCTCACAGCTCTAATCCTAGCTACTCAAGAGGATAAGAAGGGAGGATCACAGTTCAAAGCCAGCCCAGGCAGACAAATCCAAGACTCTTATCTCCAATTAACTACTCTGAAAAAGCCAGAAATGGTGCTGTGGCTAAAGTGGTAGAGCACTAGTTTGGTACAAAAATAAAAATAAAAAGCTCAGGGACAGGGCTCAGGCTCAGAGTTCAAGCCCCAGGACCAGCACAAAAGCAAAAACAAAACAATTAACCAGCAAAGGAAAGAAAGAAAGAAAGAAAGAAAGAAAGAAAGAAAGAAAGAAAGAAAGAAAGAAAGAAAGAAAGAAAGAAAGAAAGAAAGAAAGAAAGAAAGAAAGAAAGAAAGGAAGGAAGGAAGGAAGGAAGGAAGGAAGGAAGGAAGGAAGGAAGGAAGGAAAGAAGGAAGCAAGCAAGCAAGCAAGCAAGCAAGCTAAGGGACAGAACCCTGAGTTCAAACCTTAATACCAGCACACACACACAAAAAAAAAAAATCCTCTGACATTGATGGCAAATGAATGGCGAAATTGGCCAAAAATAAAAGTCCCATAAATCTGCTATTTTGCCCTAAGCTGTCTGGTATGCGGAGTGCCAGAGTTATTGATAGAAAAGCTTATGGATGGGCTGCGTCTTAAAATCAAAATACATTACCCAAAATCAATGCTGCTTGCTGTACACAGTACAGAGAGGACAGGAAAGGTCAGGCAGAACACAAACATCGAAACCCCAACTCTGAGAAGAGTTGAACAGTAAAATAATAACTTTACAAGTGAGCTCGAGAAACAAGAACTCTTAGTAAAACTGAGACCTGTTAGTAAAGGAAATGTTTGCCGGCAGCTGGACAGGCATTGGGATTATTTGTTAATTGTCTTTGTTTTGTTGTTGTGCTATATAACTGAGGCTTGAACTTCATGCTCTTGCTTGGCTTTTGTGTTCTACCCTTTGTGCCCCATCACCACTTCTAGCTTTTGGCTGGTTCTCTGGAGTTAAAAGTCTCAGGGATTTGTCTGCTTGGGCTGGCTTCTAACCACGATCCTCTCTCTGATCTCAGCCTTCGGAGTAGGTAGGATTACTGGTGTGAACTGCCAGCACCACTGACCGTTACTGAGCAGTAGAAGAATAATTTGGTTTCTAAGAAATCTCATCTTCTGCTGTAAAATGCCCCCCCCCCATCTCTGTCTCTCTCACACACATACACCGACAGACAGGTGATCACTAACAGCCCCCACACTTTGGGCTTTGTGCTCTCCCCCATCAGACCCGTGTGTGGAGCTGCGCATGGTAACTCACACCTGTAATCCTGAGATCTGAGGATCACAGCTTGCAGGCAGCCTAGGTAGTCAGTCAGTCCTTGACTTCAATGGAGGTGTGGCTCAAGTAGTAGAGCACCAGCCTTGAGTGAAAGAGCTTCCGGACAGTGCCCCGGTTCGGAGTGCCTCTCCTCCTGCCTCTCCTCCTGGTCCTGCGTCAGAATAGCATGATGTAAGTCTGCCCCCTCCCTTCAGCGGCGGAGGACAGCAAGCCAGCCGCAAGTCTTCCATCTGTGGGTGCCCAACCGTGGCTAAGGACACGGGTAACGGGCAGGGAAACGCTGGTCAGTGGCCAGGGAACCACCGCCAGAGCGGCCCCGCGCAGGAAGCCTGGGAGGAGGTCCAGGGAGGAGGGGTCACCCTCGGCCTCCCCTACCCTGCAGGGGTAACACAGGCAGGGGTGGGAAATGACCCCATAGAGAACCTGACACCTGACACAGACGGGAGGAAGGAAGGAAGGAAGGAAGGAAGGAAGGAAGGAAGGAAGGAAGGAAGGAAGGAAGGGAGGGAGGGAGGGAGGGAGGGAGAGAGGAAGGGAGGGAGGGAGGGAGGAGAGAAGAGAGGAGGGGAAGGAAAATAAGAGGAGGGAGGTGAAGGCGGAGGAGAAGGAAAGGGAGGGAAAAGGAAGAGAAGGGGTAGAGGAGAAAAGGGGGAGAGAAGGGAGGGAAGGGGGAGGGGAAGGGAGAAGGATGAGGGGAAGGGGAGGGGAGAGGAGGAGGGTGAAGAGGAAGGGGGGCAGCCCCCGATGGCCGCCCGGGAGCGCGTCCCCGTGGCCAGCGGTGCCTTGGGGGCTGCTGATTGGCAAAGCCGGCCGAGCCGAGGCGCCGAGTCCCGGGACCCCACTCCAGCCTAGGGTCAGAGCCGAAGGCCAGGGGTCCCAGGCTAAAGTGTCCCCCCCGGGGTGGGGGTCCGGGAGGGGGGAGAGCGAGGACCCCGCGAGGCTGCGGGACTCCACTTAAGGACTCCGGCGCTGGGTCCCAACCACACCTCCCTCGTCCGGGGGCGGCTGCACCCCTCCAGTGTCCGGGCTCCGATCCGGGGAGTGCCCGGCGGGGGATGAGCGGTGCCACGCACGCCCCCGGCCCCCGCGCCGCTTGGCCACCTTCGAGGATCCCCCCCCCAAAAAAACGGGGAGCACGTCAGAGGAGGGGGCGGCGAGGGGTCGCAACCTCGCCCCGGTCGGGAGGGGGCCCCCGCGCCGCGCCCGGCCTCCCCGCCCCCCGGCCCGCCGCCGCGGCCGCACCGCGGGCCCCGCGGGCCGCGCGCCGTGCGCACACTTCCCCGCTCGCCCGATCGCTCGCTCGCACTGCGGACGCCGCGGACGCCGCCCGCCGCCCGCCTCCGCCGCCCCGGGCCCGCACCGCGCTCCGCCCCTCTGCCCCGGGCCTACCCCCCCTCCCCTCCCCGGGCCCACCCGCCCTCCACCCAGCCCGGCGCGGCCCAGGCCCCGGCCAGAAAGTGCCACCGCTCCCGGCCCAAGCCGGGGTAAGGAGTTGAGGCCTGGGGAGGGGAGGGGGGTGGAAAGGGCTAAGGAGGGGGGGCTGACACCCCAAGAGGAAGCCGGGGGGGGCATCCTCCCGCCAAGCAGGGGTGGGGTGGGGGTCAGCTCCAAAGCCCGAGGAATTAAGGGATGGGGAGACCCCTCCGAGCGACCCCCCGCGGAGGGAGGGGCGGGGAGGAGGGCGGAGGGCGGCGCCACACCGCTGACCACCCCCCGCCCCTCCCTCCGCCCTCCCCCTCCCCCTCCCCCGCCCCGCCCCGGCGCTGGGTCCCCCACGCGGCTGCGCTGGGACCGGGACGCCAGGTCTGCGCACCACGGCCGAGCGCCCACTCGCCTTGCGGAGAGAATCCGGCGGAGAAAAGTCCACGGGGGCGGCGCCAACAGGCGAGCACGACGACCCGGAGGACCGGGAGCCGGGCCGGGGCCGGTGTGGGGGGGAGGCCGCGGCTCGTCGGCAGCACACACACCCCGAACGGAGCCGCCGCTTCGCGGCTCCCCGGCGCGCGCGCAGCCTCCGCTCCTCCTTCACCCCGAGATGCTGACGGGTCCCGGCGCGCCCCGGCCTCCGCCCGGTGCCCCGGGGAACGCCTGAACGCCCGGCCCCGGCCCCGCGTGCCGAGCCACCCGGCCGAGGGACACCCCCTCCCCCCCTCGCCGATCGCCCGGCCCCGAACCCGGGACCCCGCCGCCGCCGCCGCCTCTCCTCACCCGGGCACCGCGCCCCGCGCGTCGCCGCCGCCGCCGCCGCCGCCGGAGTCGTGGTGGACCCGGGGCTGCTCGGTGCCTGGCGGGGGCCATGGCCGGCTTCGAGGCGTCCTAGCCCGAGCCGCAGCCGGAGCCGGAGCCGGTCCCGCGGAGCCCGAGCTGCGACCCGCGCCTCCTCCCCGGGCGGGAGATGGACCCGCGGGGCCGGCTGGGCGCCCTGGGATGCCTGCACGCCCTGCTGCTCGTGGTGGCCGACGGTAAGCGCGGGAACTTCGCGGCCCCGGGCCGGGGACGGGGGGGTCCCGGGGTGGGGTGGGGTGCAGCCCCGGCCCCGGAGGACAGAGCGGAGGATCCACGGCCTCCTGCGCTCCTGGGGTGCAGCCCCGAGCCCGGAGGTTGGGGTGGGGGGCGGCGCCTCCGCAGTGGGGTTCCAGTGTGGGGTGCCGGTTCCAGGGGGAGCAGGAGTTGTGTGAGCCCCAATCTGCCTCTGGCCGTGGGGACCCTGGGTACCGGGAACGCCGGAGATCCGAGCCCCAGCCCCGCGCCAACCCCAGCCCGGCGGCCGGGGCCCCGCGGCCGCCCCGCAGCTCCACACTGAACTTTACCGGCGCCTCGGGCCAGCGCCAGGCCGGCGGCCAGCGGGGACCCCGCCGCCCTGGGGGGCTGCCCAGCACCCCCCCCCCGCACACACGCCCTTATGCCCTATGAATGGTCACGCCTCTCCCCTCCCTCCCGGCCTCCCTCCCTCTCGCTCTGCCCTCTCTTGGGTGGCTCTGCCTCTATCTCTTGTCTGTCTGTCTGTCTCTCTCTCTGTCTGTCTCTGTTTCTCTCTGTCTGTCTCTCCGTCTCTCCCTCCTTTCCTCGCTCTCGCTCTGCCCTCTCTTGGGTGGCTCTGTCTCTGTCTCTTATCTGTCTGTCTCTCTGTCTGTCCGTCTCTCCCTCCTTGCCTCTCTCGCTCTGCCCTCTCTCGTGTGGCTCTGTCTCTGTGTCTCTCCCCCTCTCTCTGCCTCTCCCTCGCCCTGCCACCCCCCAGCTACCTTCACCGAGGTCCCCAAAGATGTGACGGTGCAGGAAGGCGAGGACATCGAGATGCCGTGCGCCTTCCGGGCCCGGGGCGCCACGTCGTACTCCCTGGAGATCCAGTGGTGGTTCGTCAAGGCGGCGCCCCGGGAGCTGTTGCCCGAGCTGGTCCTGAGCGCGCCCGGCGCCCGGAGCAAGGTAACCGGCCGGCCGGGGCCTGGGCGCCCGCAGCGCGGGCTGGACGCGCCCCGAGCGCGGGCTGGACGCAGGGGGCCGCGGGGATCCGGGCTGGACGCGGGGGGCGCGGCAGGGCTTCGGGGACCCCCGGGACTCAGCATCACCCCGCCCTGCAGCCGACCCACGACCCTATGCCCTCCCACGGAGCCCTGTTAGCTCTGCGTCCGGCCGGCCGCTGGTGGACAGTCTCCCGCAGTCTCCCACAGCTCCCTCATTCATGCCCTGCCTCTGACATTAAAGAAGCTACCTGCCAGCTCTGGCCTTTCCTCCCAGCTATTCAGGAGGCTGAGAGCTGAGAATCCCGGTTCGAAGCCAGCCAGCCCCCACAGGAACGGCTGGCAACAGCCAGCCAGAAGTGGAGCTGGGGCTCCAAGTAGAACACCAGCCTTGGGCACCGAAACTCAGGGACAGCTCTCCAGGCCCTGAGATCAAGCCCCGGGACGGGCACCAAAAAAAAAAAAGAGAGATAAAGGCTATATCATGGAATGTTCCTGCTCTTTGCTGCTTGCTTGCTTGCTAGCTGTGGGCCCTCCCACCAAGCCCTCCCTGCCCTGGGTCACTTTGAGGTTCCCCCCCCCCCAGGGCCCATAGCCAGCCCAGTTAAGCTCTTCTGGGCAGCGCTGTAAGCACCAGTGCAGAACCATGGTTGGGGGGGGGGCGCAAAGGTCAGAAGCCACCCCCCACCCCCACCCCCAGTCTGACTACATACACACACACACCCCTATGTTGATCTCTGAGCTCTACCCAAAGTTACTGCTTATAATCTGTATCTCTAGAGACTTAAACCCGCTATCTAGTTTTTTGGCAATTCCAAAGTTGGGGGGGGGGGGGGAGCGTGCTTTTCTCTATCCAGCCTTCAGTTGTCCACAAGCTAAGGCAAGCAGGTTAAACACCTGCTTTTTAGTTCCTGGGTAGATCACTGGAAATCCTGATATTTTGTGCCCTTCACACCACCACACACCCCAAGGCATTTTTGGGTCCCAGCGCTGTCAACAAACCATTAGAGACTGAGAATTCCCCATGCCTGAATGCCACAAGTCTAATTCATATTTCTCTCTCTCCCTCTCCCTCCCTCCCTCCCCCTCTCTCTCTCCTCCCCCTCTCTCCCTCCCTCTCTCTCTCTCTGCATTTAGGTAACAAATAAGGATGCAACTAAAATCAGTGTAAGTGTGGAGCCCAGCGTGGGCCGTGGGAGACCCCTCCTGGCTGTGTGGATCCCCACAGTTTCTTTTCCCTTTTAGAAAAAGCCTCTGCCGCGGTGTAGGGGCACAGGCGCCCTCCACCTGGGCATTCCCCGCTGTTTGACCTCAGCTGGGATCCATCTGTCGCCTAATACATTTGATCTAATCAGGAAGAGTCCCAAGCCGCCCCTCCCCTACTATCCCCCCCATCAGCTCACTGCTCCCTGTTTAAAAAAAAAAAAGAAAAGACTCTTATTTTGGAAGTGCTCCGGCCCCAGGGCACCCCTTTCACTCCCCTGGCCTGGGCCTGGGCCTGGGCCTTGGCCTGGGCGATGACACCCCCCCCCCCCACAGACAGACTCCACCTTCTTTACTGCATCTGCCCCCCCAGCACATGCACTCCACTTTGAGGGCACTGTCTGCCCCTTTGCTCAGGCAGGAATGCCCTGTAATAGACTCATACAGGGGCACTTGTCCCCCAGTGGCATTGAGCTGGGGTAGAAGCAGTCCCTGAAAACTCAAACTGAGGATGCTGTCAGTAGCTCACACCTGTCATCCCAGCTACTCAGGAGGATCATGGTTCAAAGCCAGCTGTCCTGGGCAGGAAAAGTCCAGACTCTTGAATCCCATGAATCACAGAAAAAGCTGGAGGAGGTGCTGTGGCTCAAGTGATAGAGTGGTAGCCTTGAGCACAGAGAGTGTCCAGGACAGCACCCAGGCCGTGAGTTCAAGACCTAAGACTGGTAATGAAAAGGGAGGGGAGAGGATTGTCAAGCTTTCCCAGCTGTGGGAGGAGCGAGGGAGCCCATCAGAAATGGCAGGCCTTGGGGCTGGGAAGGTGGCTCAGTGGTACAGCGCTTACCTTGCATGCATGAGGCCCTGGGTTTGATTCCTCAGCTCCACATAAGCAGAAAAAGCTGGAAGTGGCGCTGTGGCTCAAGTGGTAGAGTGCTAGCCTTGCGCTGAAGAGCTGAGGGACAGCGCCCAGGCCCAGAGTTCAGACCACATGACAAAAAGAAAGAAATGTCAGGCCTTGTAGTGTGAGTCAATGTGGCCCCCAGGCCTCCCTGGGGGCTTTGCTGTGTCCTTCTGAATGACTCAGCTGGAGTCTGAGGCAGAAGAGGGCCTTTGTGTTGGCATTCAAGCAACTGAAACCTGGTAGGATCCTCAGGAGGGGTGTGGCAGCCTCCCTTTCTTTCTGGGAGGGGAGAGCTAGCTGTGAAAAGGGGGGGGGGGGAAGCAGTTTTCCCTCACTTTCCCTCCCCATTCTACCCCCCTCCCCCATTCTAGATTAAAAAGCCTTGAACACCAGGTCCCTATGGCCCTGTAATCCCAGCTACTGGTGGTTTGAAGCCAGCCCAGGCAGGAAAGTTCATGAGATTCTTATCTTCATTTAACCACCCCACCTCCCCCCCCCCCAAAAAAAAGCCAGAAGCAGGGCTGCGGCCCCAGGGGTAGAGCAAAAGCAGCTCAGGGACAGCGCCCCTGAGCTCCAGCCCCAGGGCCAGCAGCACAGGTGCAGGAGGGGTGGGTAGTTGAGGGTCAAGAAGGCCTTCCACAAAGGTAAGGAAGAACAGAGGAGGAGGGAAGGTGTCCATTGTGGAGAGGACGCTGGGAAGATCCTCTGAAACCCGGATAGCTGAGGGGTTACTGGTGCTAGGAGTCTCATGGACTTTTCCTGCTCAGGCTGGCCTTGAACCGCGATCCTCAGATCTCAGCCTCCTGAGATGACAGGCCAGAGTCAGGGGCCCCAGGGTGGAGGGGGGTCAGGGAGGTCCCGGGGTGCAGGAGGGACTGGGGCACGGGTGGGGTGGGCAGAGGACAGGCTGGACACCACCCCCCCCCTCCCTCTCTCGCAGACGGTTCGAGTCCAGGGCAACGACATCTCGCACCGGCTGCGCCTGTCGGCCGTGCGCCCGCAGGACGAGGGCGTGTACGAGTGCCGCGTGTCGGACTACAGCGACGCGGACACGCGCGAGCACCAGGCCCGGGCGCTGCTGCGCGTGCTGTCGCGCTTCGCGCCGCCCGACATGCAGGCGGCCGAGGCCGTGTCCCACATTCAGAGCAGCGGGCCCCGCCGCCACGGGCCGCCCAGCGCCGTCCACGCCGGCCACGCGGCCAGCCCCGCGGCCCCCGCCACCTCCGAGCCCGGCCGCAGCCAGGACCAGAGCCTGCCGCCTCCCGGGAGCCCCGGTGTCCCCCAGGCCGCAGCCTCCACCACCCACACAGCCACCTCCACTACGACCGTGGCTGCAGCTGCGGCTGCTTCCTCATCAGCATCCCCATCACCTGGCCAGGCAGTCCTCCGGCGACAGAGACATGGCTCTGGTAAGGGATGGTGGCCCAGCGGCGGCGGCGGCGGCAGGGATATTGGGATTGGGGGACACGATCCAATCTGGCCATCTGGCAGTATGGTGTTGGGGATGCCTGGAATACCGGTTTTTCAGCTGCTGTGCCTGTGTGCTCAGGAGTCTTACGGTCGGTTCTTGGAGCTTGTACCCTGCGGAGGCTGGGGTCTGGCTGGCATGCAAGTTAGGACCCTTGGGTTTGGAGTGTTGGAAACTGAGGGGTTGTGGCTTGCTTCTGACCCCTAAGACTGGAGAGGGGACATTCTCCAAGTGGTATTCTAGCACCAGGGTGAGAGGAAGAAGAGTTGGAGAGAATGGATGTGTCGCTAAGCCAGTGGGCTGCGCAGAATGGAACGTTCTAGATGATGTGGAGACTGCCTGGTTGTGTATTCTCTGTCCTCTTTGCCTGCGTGCAGAATGGTCCCAGGGGACTGCTATGGGCCTGGTATAAATGGTTGCTCTGGTTCCTCTGCCGCCCTGGAGGGACCCTACCCATTGTCAGTCCTGAGCACCAGTGGTTCATACCTGTAATCCCAGCCACTCAGGAGGCTCATGGATCGAAGCCAGCCTGGGCAGGAGAGTCCATGAGGCTCTTATCTCCAGTGGTCTACCAAAAAGCCTGAAATTCAGGAGTTGTGACTCAAGTAGTAGAGCGCCAGCCTTGATCAAAAAAGCTTAAGGGACAGAGGCCTGATGGGAAGGAAGGAAGGAAGGAAGGAAGGAAGGAAGGAAGGAAGGAAGGAAGGAAGGAAGGGAAGGAGGGAGGGAGGGAGGGAAGGGACAGCAGGGACCATGTGCCTGAGGCTGTCAGCCAGGACAGGATGGTTCTGGTGACTCTCAGCTGCTTCTCCATGCGCCCTTCCTCCAAAGCCTCCGCCTTCCTCCCCACTCCACAGCAGGCCTCAGAGGTGGGCTTTCCTCTAGTGCTGAGAGTCTGATCTCCAGCCAGGTGGCTCGCTGCTTGTGCTCAGACTTCCAAGGATGCCAAACCCCACCCGGGTTCCAGTGCTGGAAAGCAAGCTGGGATGGCCCCTGGATGCATTCCCCAGCTGGGCTGTGGCCCTGGTCCTGTCACCAAGACAGTATTCCCAGTGTGGCCACCTGCTGCCCACCCGGGCCACGGGCTCTTCCCCTCCACTGCTGAACTGACACCGCAGACTTCATGTCCCCACCTTACCCCGTCTCCCCGCCGCTCCCTCAGCCCTGGCACTGTTGTGAACGCCAGTCCCTGTGAGTCATTTCTCATAGGAGGAGCCACCTCTGTCTCAGGCTTGATCTGGTGGACCTGTCTTGTTTTGGAGGTCATGGGGCTTGAACTTGGGGCCTGGACACTGTTGCTGAGCTTTTTTTGCTCAAGGCTAGAGCTCTACCCCTTGGAGCCCCCAGGCCTCTTAGTGAATTGGGAGATAAGCATCTCACAGACTTTACTGTTCCCAAAGGCTTTGAACCATAATCCTCAGATCTCAGCCCCCTGAGTACCAGAGATAACAAGCTCCAGCCACCAGTGTCCTGCTAGCCTTGTCTTTATCTGCGAAAAACCTCAGGACATTTCCCCAGCCCATGGAAATGGACACTTTAAGCTAACACTAACTGCTGTGAAAAACCCAAATGTCCATGAGTCAACACATGGCTTTTTTTTTTTTTTTACTTTCTCCTTTGCATCCAATCCTGCCTGAGTGGAAAAGTGGGGTCCATGAAGTTATTCAGGGACCCAGGCTGACAGGGATTCTAGTAGCTTCCGTAAGTGGCCCCTAGAGTCCTTGGGGGGGGGGGGGGGGAACATAATAAAATAAAGAAGAGGCTGCACAATGTATGAATCAGTTCCTTTCCTAAAGATGCATCTTTCTTGGGAAACTGAAGACAAATAAAGTCACTCCAACCATTTTGTCATCACATCTGTCCGAGAAAAGCTGATGGCAAAAATGACAAAGGTGGAGAGAAAATGTGGTAGCTCACACCTCTAATCCCAGCCACTCCTGAGGGGAAGAGCTAGAGGATGGCCGCCTGAGGCTAGCCACAGGCCAAAGTGAAAGACCCGATCTAGAAAATAACCTAAAGTAAAAAGAGCTGAAGATGGGGTTCAAGTAGTAGAGCACCTGTCAACAAATACCAGGCTCTGAGTTCAAATCCCAGTACCCATTTAAAAAAAAAAAAAGAAAAAAGCAAACAGGTGTAGAAAAGATGACTTCTAAAGCCAGATATCCATCATCCTAGCTATTCAGGAGGCTGAGATTTGTCATTTGAAGCCAGCCTAGGGAAGGAAAGTCTGGGAGACTCTTATCTCCAATGCACTAGCCTGGAGCACAAAAGTTCAGGGACCGTACCCAGGCTCTGAGTTCAAACCCTAAGAGCTGCTCTCATTCCCTAGACTAGGCCAGGCCAGGACATGACCCAACACAGAGGTTAGGGTCTTTGGGAGAGGTACTCGTTGTCTTGGCAATTGCTTCCCAGAATCCTCTCTATACCGTGGAAGAGGCATAAGAACCTCAGTGGGGGTTCTTCACCACCTCCAGGCAGGTGTTTATTGACTTATACAGTGATTGGGCTAATTAATTAATGCTGGTCAGGGAGAAGGCCTTTCTACCCTATCTCCTTTGGGCCTCAGTAAACTCGTATCCTGCCCTGATGTCCCCCGAGCCTGAACAGAAGGACAAAGCAGGAAACAGAGGTCATCATGCTAGGAGTTCACACCTGTAATCCCAGGTACTCAGAGGTCTGAAATCTGAGATTACTGTGAGAAAGAAGCCAGCCTTTCCAGGAAAGTCTGTGAGACTGATCTCCAGGACACCAACAAAAAGCCAGAAGCGGAGCTGTGGCTCAAATGATAGAGCACCAGCCTTGAGTGAAAAAGCTCAGAGACAGACATCTAGGTCCTGAATTCAAACCCCAGTTCCAGCACGTGTGCACACACACACAAACACAAATACCAAGAAGAGCCATCAGCATGGAGTCAGCGCTCATTTGATTAAGGAAGGGCCATAGGAAAGAGATCTGTACAGATGACATTGATTGGGCCACACGCCGGCAGGAGCTCATTCCTTCCGAAATCTCCATCTCCTTCTGACCAGAGTCGGCGACTTCGCCTGTGTTTGCATGGCAGCGGGGTCTCCGGTCGCTGCGCTGCCCAGAGGGACTTGAATAAGTTTGGATTCTCAACCATTTAGTTTCCAGAGCAGTGGCTCCATATCCTTACAGATATGGAGTCTTGCTAGGCACCAGTGGCTCACTCCTGTAGTCCTAGCTACTCGAGAGGCTGAGATCTGAAGATGGCGATTCAAAGCCAACTTGGGCAGGAAAGTCTGTAAGACTCTTTTCTCCAATAAACCACCACAAAACCGGAAGTGGGGCTGTGGCTTAAAGTGGTAGAGCACTAGTCTTGAGTAACAGGACTCAGAGACACACCCAGGCCCTGAGTTCAAGCCCCATGACTGACAAAAAAGGAAGAAAGAAAAACAAGTTAGACTCCTCCTAGTCTGCTGGAGCAATGCCGCTGGAATGGGCTATGAGACACTCTGGATCTTTCAGATTAGTGACTTCCCCAGACCACTGGTCCTCATTGTCCCTGTTAACCAGTTGCTTCTAGAAGGAGTTTAGGTCTCTGGTTTGCTAAAGGAGTTACTAGGTAAGGGCAGGAAAATTTAGACTCACAATCTATATGCAAAAGGCTCATTCCTCCTCGCATCTCATTTGTCAAAGGATGTTTTTGGTATTTGTGCTTAAAAATATTCATAGGCCAGGCACCGGTGTCTCATGCCAGGAATCCCAACTACTGAAGAGACTAAAAGATGAGGATTGCAGTTCAAACCCAGCTCTGCCCCATCTACCTTCCCCTCCCCCCCCCAAAAAAAACCCATCTGTATGAATCTTATCTCCAATTAACCAGCAAAAAGCTGGAAGTGGAGGTATGGCTCAGGTGGTAGAGCACCAGCCTTGAGCACACCAAAGCTAAGGGACAATACATGAAAGATGTGAGTGCCAACCTCAGGCCAGGCACACAAATTAAATAAAGCTGGGTCTCACTGGCAGCCCCAAGCTAGCACGGGACACTGCCTGGATTTTGCCACATTCCGTAAAAAGTGGCTCTTCACTAATCTGAACAGTGACCCCATTTTGTCATAAACACATTAGTTTGCTGGTTCCAGACCCAGAGATGAGGTGGGAGGAGAATGAATAATGCCTTCCAGACAGACAATGGAGAGGCGCCGCAGTGGGGATGAACATGGCTGAAGAGGACAGTCTGGAATCTGGAAAGCTAGTGTGCGGGGGTGAGAGGTCCGGACCGCTGTGTGAATCTCAGGATCAGATTGTGATGTGTGAACTTCTAATTAGCCTCAGGACTCGGAGTCCTAGGAGAGGTGTCCTGGCCCTTTCAGGATGCTGATTGGCTGTGGCAGTTTGCTCTCTGGTGCCCACAAAGAAGACTCCTGGCTTTCCACATTTCAATTAATAATGAGAAGACAGCCAAGGCCATGGATGGGCGGGGCGCCGTCACAGGGAGAGGAAGTATCCTTGAATGTTGCCACGGTAACCGTAAACCCTGACCAATGGGGGCCACAGACACAGTGAAGCTGTTCACTGCCTCTCAGCTTATGGCCCAGGTGGACGACAGGGCTGACAGAAACGGTGGCAGTGTGGCCCTAGAAACCCAGTGGCACAGAATGAGTCTCTTACTATAGACAGCAAAGTCAGAGGCCCTGGATCAAAAGCACTTACAGTCCAGCGCTGGTGACTCATGCCTGTCATCCTAGCTACTTGGGAGGCTAAAATCTGAGGATGGAGGTTTGAAGCTAGCCTGGGTAGGAAAGTCCATGAGACTCTTATCTCTAGCTGGAAGTGGAGCTGTGGCTCAAGTGGCAGAGCATTAGCCTTGAGCATAAAATCTCAAGGACAGCGCCCAGGCCCTAAGTTCAAGCCCGGGACTGGTACCAAAAAAAAAAAAAAGTCAACTTAAATAAACAATCTCTTCTTCCCCGAAGCTCTGTTGTGACCTGAGGTTCATCTTCAAGGAGAAAACAAACAGGTATCACCTGGTGTCTCACACCTATAATCCCAGCTCCATAGGAGACTGAAATCTGGAGGATCAAGATAGCCAGCATAGACAGGAAAGTACCCAAGACTCTTATCTCCAATGAACCAGCAAAAAGCTGGGCGTTAGAGATGTGGCTCAAGTGGTAAAGCACCAGTGGTGGAGGGGGGGGGGAACTAAGGGACAGCACTCAGGCCTTGAATCCAAGTCCCAGTGCTGACACAAAAAAGAAGGAAGGAAGGAAAAAAAGAAGGAAGGAAGGAAGAGAGAAGGAGGGAGGGAGGAAATCTGGCAAAAGAGTGTCCCAGAGAAGAGAGAATGTGGCTTTAGAGAAGGGGGAAATTAAGGAGTTTGTAGGGAGTAGAGATTATCAGCTACAAGTCAGGTTGCCCTGGAGCCCGGCTTCAACTTGCATGAGCGGGACTCAGATGACAGGAGCGTGTGGCCTGTGGCTCATCCAGAGCAGGCTTTCTGTGGATTGCAAGCCTGTGGGAGACACCTGGGAAGGTGTCCGTGACGGGTGTCAATCCTGGGAGCCCTGAATAACCAAATGGAATGGTTTTTGTCCATCGTTGCATGAGCAGTGGCTGTCCTGTACAGCCATTTTCTCTCAGCACCCGTGAATCCCAAAATAGACCCTCAGATAGCTGATCTGCAGTGCAGTGCACTGTAATACCATACTTGCTTTCTGTGGTTTTTTGCTTTTTGTTTGTTTGTTTGGGGTGCCAGTACCAGAACTTGAATTCAGGACCTGTGCATTCTCCTTTAGCTTTTTCACTCAAGGCTGGTACTCTACCACTTGGGCCAAGCCTTCATTTCTAGCTTTTTGCTAGTTTATTAGAGGTAAGAGTCTTAGGAACTTTCCTGCCAGGGTTAGCTTTGAACCATGATCCTCAGATCTTAGCCTGAGTAGCCAGGATGACAGGCATGAGCTACCAGTGCCGCCTTTGCTTTGTCTTCTCTGGGGCCACAGGAAAGTTTCAGCTCTTATTCCAAACTCTATAACTGCTTACTCCTACCTGTTTATGATGAATGCTGACATACGTTTGTCCCCTTAGGGAGAGAGATGCTTCAAGGAAAAATCAGTGCACCTCTCAAGCTGGAACATTCCAGAAAGATGTGTGCTCTGTTGGCCTCCTCCGGGCAAGGGTTTAGTTCCAGCCAGTTTGGACTGGCTAATGTTGGTTCTCATGTAATACAGTTTCTTTATGGAGTTTCTTTGGGTCTTAACTCAAAAATAAGATTCCAGCCAGACACTGGTGGCTCACACCTGCCATCTCAGCTACTCAGGAGGCTGAGATCTGAGGCTCTTAGTTCAAAGCCAGCTGGGCTGAAAAGTCCCTGTGAGACTCTTATGTCCGATGAACCACCAGAAAACCGGAAGTAGAGCTGTGGCTCAAAGTGGTAGAGCACTAGCCTTGAGCAATAAAAGCCCAGGGACAGTGCCCAGGTCCTGAGTTCAAGACCCATGACCAACAACAACAACAATAACAGTATGACTCCACACTAACCATTTCAGAAACTTTATTCCACCACCCCCCCCCCCCCGCCACCCCTCTGATTCATCTTCTTGCCCATGCTCAAAGGTCCAGGGATTCCCTGGGGAAAGACTGCTTAGCAATGAAACATTTAGTCAATGAAGCATTTTAAAACATCCAGCATGCCAGGTGTCAGTGCTCATACCAGTAATCACAGCTACTGAGGAGGCTGAGATCTGAGAATAGTAGTTCGAAGCCAGCCCTGGTAGATAAGTCCAAGAGACTCTTGTCTCCAATTAACCAACCACAAAGCCACAAATGGAGGTGCAACTCAAGTAGTAGAGCACCAGCCTTGTGCAAAAAAGCTAAGGGACAGCAAGCCAGGCCCTGAATTCAAGCCCCAGGACTGGCATAAAATAAAATAAAGACTCTCCAAGGCTGATCTGCATTGCTCAGAGGACAGAAAGCCCCTTCCTCTGCTGAGCCCAGGCCCGTCATCTCTCTGCAGCCCACAGGAGGACGGTTTGCTCTAAGCCAGGGAAATGTCTATCCCTGTAAAGCGACTTTTATTGTGATGATTCTCCTCTAAATGCTGCTGAAGGCACAGAGGATGGCTCTTTAGTATATCTGGATCTTTTTGGTTTTTTGTTTTGCTGTTTGCCAAGCACAGCTGCTACTGACAATATGCGTCTTGCATAGCTGGGATTGCAGATGCACACAACCATGTCCAGCATAAGATAGGGTCTTGCTTGAGATTAAATTTCTGTTTTAGTGATAGCAGCATTTTTTTGGACCATATTTAATTTTGGGCTCATAGCAACCTGCAAAACAATACATTTATGTGGTCCAGTAGAATGCCAATAGCAGAATTATTGTAAGGATTAAATGGGATAAAGTTGATGAATATAATATTGCCAGGAGTAGATTCTAGTTTCTTCTTTTTCCTTTAGGAGTCAAACTGATTTTGTTTTATTATAGTCTAAGCTAAGATCTTGCTAACATTCAGCCCAGGCTGGCCTCAAATCTCAATCCTCTTGCTCACTGACTCCTCGGGACAGAAGGAGCCTCCATACTTGGTCAGATCAAAAGGATTCTTCACTTGTTGGGTTTGTTTTGTGCTGGTACTAGTAGGGCTTGAACTCAGGACCTGGATGGTGTCTTTTGGTTTTTTTGCTCAAGGCTGGTGCTCTACCACTTGAGCCACAGCTCCACTTTCAGATTTTTTTTTGTAGTTAATTGAAGATAGTCTCTCAGATTTTCCTGCCCAGACTGGCTTCAAGCCACGATCCTCCAGATCTCAGCCTCCTCAGTAGCTAGGATGACAGGTAGGAGCCACCAGCGCCTAGTTAGCTAGCTTTTTCTTTTCTTTTTTAACTGAGAACGTCTTGCTGGGCATGGTAGATCGTACCTGTAATATCAGCATTTGGGAGACTATGGATAACATAGCAACACCCTGTCAATCAATCAATCAATCAAACATAATGAATGAATGAATCCTTCAGACTCAGTGTGCAGGTGTCTCTAGCATGCTCCAACCTATCTTCATGTCTCCAACCTGTCTTCATCTCCTCCCTCCCCCCAGGCTAGGAGTACTTGCCTAGCATGCATGAAGCCCTGGGTTCAATTCCTCAGTACCACATAAGTAGAAAAGGCCATACATGGTGCTGTGGTTCAAGTGGTAGAGTGCTAGCCTTGAGCAAAAAGAAACTCAGGGACAGTGCCCAGGCCCTGAGTTCAAGCCCCAGGACTGGAGAAAAAAGGCGGGGCAGATAGCTGGGTGCCAGTGGTTCATGCCTAGCTACTCAGGAAGCAGAGATCTGGAGGATCTGGGTTCAAAGCCAGCCCAGGCAGGAAAATCCATGAGACATTTTTCTCCCCTGAACCAACAAAAAGCCAGAAGCTGTGGCTTAAATAGGCGAGTACCAGCCTTGAGTGAAAAGGCCAAGAAGAATGTGAGGCCCTAAGTTCAAGCCCCAGTACCAGCATTAAATAAGTAAATGTGTAAGTAACTAAGGAGCACCAGCACGTAATTAAGTGAATGAGCGTATGAATGAATGAACGAGGAGCATACAGCAAATTAGCTCCTGTCCAATCCTTTCCACAGAGCGAAGGTTTCCCAGCCCCAGACATCTGACACATACTCTTTTCTTTTTTTCTTTCTTTTCTCTCTTTCTCTCCCCTCCCCCCCCCCCATCCCTATGTTGGGCCTGGGCCTGGGCTCTGCCCTTTAGCTTTTTCTCTTAAGGATAGGGTTCTACCACTTGAGCCATACCTCTGCTTCCAGCTTTTGGAGATAAAAGTCTCTTGCTTGGGCTAGCCTTGAACCATGATCCTCAGCTCTCAGCCTCCTCCTGAGCAGCTAGAAGGACAAGCATCAAGTATGAGCCACCAGCACCCAGCTTTTTCTTTTTTAAAAAAATTTAAAACTTTAAAAAAAAAAAGATCTCTTGTTTACTTTTTTCAATATTGATTTACTTATATTTTAAGTAAGTGCAATGCATCTTGGTCAGTGTCACCCCTTCCATCATTGTCCCCTCCCTCCCCATCCCATCCCTACATAGTTCCATTTTTACCTAATGTACGTTGAAGGTGAGGACTGTATCCCCTCACCCTCCCTCCATCCCCCACCCCACCCCTGCAGGGGAATCTGTATCTGCTTCCTGGTATTCATTTTGTTAAAATAGTTCCTTCGTCATTCGGAGGAGTTACACCTTTACACTCTGAAATTTCTCTTATTTTTTTTTTTTTGGGGGGGGGGTTGGTCGTGGGGTTTGAACTCTGGGCCTGGGCACTGTCCCTCAGCTCTTCAGCTCAAGGCTAGTGCTCTACCACTTGAACCATAGTGTCACTTCCACATCTTTACTCTTTCTCTGAGTTTCTTGATTAAGTGCTGGTGCTTGGTAGCAATTGCCAGGCCAAAAAAAAATAAAAAACAAATAAATAAATAAAAAAGAACAAGCAGCAGCAGAGCCGGTGAGCCAGTGGCTCACACCTGTCATCCTAGCTGCTCGGGAGGCTGAGATCTGAGGATGGAGGTTCAAAACCAGCCTGGGCAGGAAAGTCCGTGAGACTCATCGCCAATGAGCCCCTCCAGAAACCCGGCAGTGGAGCTGTGGCTCAAAGTGGTAGAGTGCTATCCTTGAGCAAAAGAGCTCATGGACAGCATCCAGGCCCTGCGTTCAAATCCCGGGATGAACACAAACACTAAAAGTGAAAGGACGCCCTGTCAATACATATGCGGAGGTCCAGAGGCCTGGGGAAGTCCGCTTGCGCCTGGCAAGTTTTGGTGAATCCAGAATTAATCCTGTCTGTGTGTTTTCTGTCCCCAGCAGGCAGTGGCCCGCACCATACCGCAGACCTGCGCCTGGCCCTGGCCCTGCTAGCCCTGCTGAGCCTTCTGTGGGGCCCCTGAGGGCCCGGGCGTGACCTGTGCCGGCCCTGTGCAGCCGAGCCACCAGGGGGACTCCGAGGGACTGGAAGAAGCATGAAGAAATCCAAGCAGGAGACAGAGGAATCCTATTTTATTTTGAGGGGAGGGGGAAATCCCACCACTTCTGAATACCTACCATAATGAATCTAGTTTTCAACTAAGATGAAATGAGACCATGCAATCATGCATGAGCTCAATAATTTCTCTACTGCACTGTCTCTTTTTTTATTCTTTTATTTATTATTATTTTTTTAATAGCCAGTGCTGGGGCTTGAACTCAGGGCCTGGGTGCTGTCCCTGTTTTTTTTTTCCACTCAAGGCTATCACTCTGTACCACTTGAGCCACACCTCCACTTCTGGCTCTTTGCTGGCTCATTGGAGAGAATTGTTTCACACACTTTCTTACCCAGGCTGGCTTTGAACCTCAATCCTCAGTAGGCTTAATCCAGAGTAGCTAGAACCACCAGTTACCCAGCCCAATATCGTTTTTTTTTTTTCTAGTTTCCCTCCAGATTTTCATTTGTGCACGAACTGTGGTGGAGGTAAACTTTAGGATAATACATACAAATGTTGGAGTTACCATCTTTCAGATAAAGCAAAATATTTTTAGTAGATTCTTATGTTTAGAATTTTTTTAATTTACTATTTTCTTTGTGGGAAGGCCCTTTTTTAATTATTAAATTATTTCATTGGAGACATTTTGATTAAAAAAAGACATCATAATTAAGATTCACTGTCAATAATATTTATTTTTCAATAAAGATTAAAACAAGGTCAGACCCTTGTTTATAAATTGTATTGTATATTGCTGAATAACAGTTGAATAAATAAAGAGAACTTTGAAATAACCTTTTGAGCTCCATACATTCACTCACCAGCATAGCTTTCCTGTTCTGGACGCCAGCTACACTTTTGTAGGTCTTGAACTCAAGGCCTGGGCACTATCCTTTAGCTTTTTTGCGCAAGACTGGTGCTCTATCATTGGAGCCACACCTCCACTTCCAGCTTTTTGGTGGTTCATTGGAGGTAATAGTGTCATGGACTTTCCTGGCTGGGGTGGCTTTGAACCTTGGCCTCTGATCTCAGCCTCTTGAGTAGCTAGGATGACAGGTGTGAGCCACCAGTGCCCAGCTTTGAACTCAAAAAATTTTTTTCAAAGTAACTATATATTTTTGTTTCTATTAACAACAACAAAATACCTTTATAATTTCACATCCCATTGCATTTAAAAGCACATACATTACAAAATAATTTTGCAAACTTTAACACACAGTATTTTATTGATACCTAAAATGCTATTCATATAATTTTAGCCCTGTTGAAAGTATTAAAGAATATTTTTAAACATTCTTGTAAATTTGGCCAAAACAAAACCATACATTTTATAATCTTCAATTTACATCTGAAATATCCTTAAATGTTACACAAACATTCTCTCCGACCATTTGGACACAAATCTTTTATTCTCGCCTGTAAGAGGAATTGGTTTGCTGGACAACTTTGAAGGATGTTTATACAAGTGAGCCCTGTAAGGGATGAGGGCGCCCCCTCATGGTTGTGGACAGGATATGCACCCAAGATCTGTGCCAGCGTCTCTGGGTTCCTGCTTAAGGCTGACAAACCCTTGACCATCTGGTTCCTGTTTAATCACAGAATGGTGTTAGACTCCAAAATAGACTACACCATGGCCGTTAGTTTTGGTTTTTATACCAACACTGAGGCTTGACTCAGCCTCACAATCTTAGCTTTTTTACTCAAGATTGGCACTCAACCACTTGAACCACACCTCCTCTTCCAGCATTTTGCTGCTTAATTGGATCCTCAGATCTCAGTCTCCTGAGTAGCAAGGATTACAGGCGTGAGTCATGGCATCCTGCTGGCCCCTGGTGTTTAGGCCTGTACCGTCGATAACCAGCTAAACTCTGACTGCTTGAAATCGCTACACAACCTGGCCTTATCTTCACTGCTTTAGTATTTAATTGACTGGATATATTTGGACAACCCCATCGACACAGACAATGCCTCTCCTTCCTGGCCTCCAGAGTGATGCTAATGTCCTGGGATATTTCAGGAAAGAAAAACCTCAAGACTTCTTTCTGGTGAAAACGTGAACTTGTCTCCTGTTCCATATCTGTTTACTGGTGCCAATTGCGCTGTAAATAGAATCATTTTGCCTGGTGGCTAGAAGAGTGGATTCTGTCTGAAAGGATTATCACTATTATTGTTTTTGCTTTTTTTTGCCAGTCCTGGGGCTTGAACTCAGGGCCTCGGCGCTGTTCCTGAGCTTTGTTGATTAAAGCTAGTACTCTACCACTTGAGACACAGCTGTACTTCTGGTTGGTTTTTTTTTTTTTTTTATACTAAATTGGAGATAAGAGTCTCATGGACTTTCTTGCCTGGGCTGGCTTCAAACCACAATCCTTGGATCTCAGCCTCCTGAATAGTTAGGATGACAGCCATGAGCCTGTGCCTGGATAGCTGGGCTTATTATCCTAAACCCAGCCCCTTGGTTAACATGCAGTCTCACAAACTTCCTTTCTGTCCAGGCTGACCTTGAACTGCAATCCCCTGGATCTTCACCTCCTAAAAGTAGCTAGAGATCACAAATTTGAGCCATCACAGCCAGGTTCTGCCTAGCTTTTGCATTCTGGATCTCCCCACACATCAGACAATGATGGATGTCCATTCTGCCAGCATCCCAAAAGCTTTAGCCTTGTTTTTCCTGGAGAAGGGGTGTTGGTGTGGCTGATGTGCCCTGCCCTGTGTACACACACACACACACACACACACACACACACACACACTTCTGTCCAGCTTCAGTGAGTAATCTAGCAGTGTGAATGACTCAGCCCCTGGGGGAACAGAAGCCAACCGGACATACTTCATCTCCACATGATGGTACCACTCTCCCTTGGAGCCTCTGCAGTCACCAACCAGGATCCAGTGCTACCCACCAAGCCCCAAGACAAAACCCTATACCTTGTATCCTGGGAGTCCCCAGAAACACAAAGAAGCCTAAGGCCTTCATAAGAGCCTCACCCAGAATGGGAACAAACATAACGTGAGGTAAAGTCTGGAAGCTTCCCCCAAGGTAACCCCTTACGAAATGACAAAGACCTGAAGAGCACCACAAATGTACTTCATGTATGAGAATTCATGATTTTACACCAAGCCTCATTGGTCAATGACAAGCAGGGGGAAAAAAAGCCAAGTTCAGATCTATTACTTGCTCCTAATTTTTGAAAAAGAAATAAGGCAGGTGTCAGTGGCTCACATCTATAATCCTACCTACTCAGGAGCCTGAATAGGCATGGATCAAAGTTCAAAGCCAGATCAGGCAGGAAAGCTCGAGAGACTCTTACCTCCAATTAACCACCAGAAAATTTGAAATGTCACTGTGGCTCAAGAGGTAGAGAACTAGCCTTGAGCAAAAAGAGCTCAGGGACAGCCCCCAGGCCTGGAGTTCAAACCCCAGAACTGGCACCTAAAAAAAAAAAAAAGAGGTGAATAATAAGATGCTTAGTAGAACATACAGATCTGCTGCTCAGGGGGCAGAGGCAGGAGTATGGTGTGTTCAAGGTCAGCGTGAACTACACAGAGAGCCCCTGTCTCAAAAAAACAAAAAGCCAGCTGTTGATGGCTCAAGCCTGAAATCCCAGCTACTCAGGAGGCTGAGATCTGAGGATCAAGGTTCAAAGCCAGCTCAGACAGGGAAGTTAGTGAGACTTTTATCTCCAACTAACTACCAAAAAGCCTGAAAGCACTCAGGCCCTGAGTTCAAGCCCAATAATGGCCAAAAAAAAAAAAAAAGCTAAAACAGAACAAAAAAAATGGAAGTTAAATACAAGAAAGAATTAGTATCAACAGACAGATAGTAGATAATAGGGAGGAAGCAGGTGATAGGTGGGTGGGTAGGTAGATACATACGTACATACACACATACATGCTTTTTAAAACTGCTGGGTACAAGTGGCTCACACCTGTAATCCTAGCTACTCAGGAAGCTGAGATGATAGGATCTTGGTTCAAATCTAGTCCAGGCAGGAAAGTCCATGAAACTCTTATCTCCAATTAATCACTTTTTTAAAATAGCCAGAAATGGAACTGTAGCTCAAGTGGTAGAGTTCTAAACTTGAGCAAAAAAAAGGAGCTCAGGGGCAGCATCCAAGCCAGGATGCTGGCAAATTCCAGGACTGACGCAAAATAGAAAAGAAAAACAGTGCTCGTGTACAACTAGGAAAGAAGAAGTAAGGGGATAGTACAATAGTGATGGTTACCTGGAGATGAAAAGGCAAAGAGATGAGGCTCACGGGTAAATAAAGGTAATTATCAACATCTTTCATTCTCAGGGCTCTAGCCACAGCTCAGTTGGTAGAGCACCAGTGGATAAGTGAAAACATGAGGTACTGAGTTCAAGCCCCAGTCCAGGACCAAAAAAAAAAAAACAGAAAAGAAAAGGGAAGATCTTGATTCTCCAACTGAGTAGATGAATTACTAAAGAGCTTTATCAAAAATTAATAAATGGACAGGTACTGGTGGCTCACGCCTATAATCTCAGCTACTCAGGAGGCTGAGATACAGAGAATTGAAGTTCAAAAGCTAACTAGGCAGAAAGGTCTGTGAGACTCCATCTCCCAAATAACCAGACAAAAGCTGCTCTGGAGGTATGGTGCAAGTGTAGAGCACCAGCTGAGCAAGCCAGCCCAGCAAAGCCCTGAGTTCCAACTCTGGTACTAGAAAGAAAAAAAAATAATTTTCTGTGGGGTGGACAGTACAGAATAAACCAGCGCAGGGATCAATCAACTTTGTGAGGTGAAATGCAGAAGATCAGGGATTCATATTAAAACAGAAGCAAAGTAGTGGCTTTTTCCATCTCTGGTCCCCAAGGCAAAATTTACACCTCACTCCATCTCCAACCCTAAGATTCCTTGGCCAAACACCATTCTCACAAACCACATCTGACTCAGGT